CAGCTTACTCAATAGGACACTGGCCTCAGCTCAGATGTCTGGCATCTATTCCTTTCTCAGCTGCTGTGAGAAAATGAATCTGTTGTTTCATCTCGGCATGCCCCTTTCATCCTTCAGTCCCTCCTGTCTGTTTAGAGTGTATGTTCTTCTGAGCTGGAGTCTTTTCTCTTTGGAGAGGTGTATATATACACCACATAAAATAATAGAGTGGCAATTCTGTCAGGTCCTCTGGGGACTGATATAAAATGAAACCTGAAAAAGTTACACACTTTTTTATAAATCATTAGCATATTAACTTCACTGTATAAAGCAACATCATGCAGAGGTCAGTATCCCAGAGATCCAACTGTAATGTGGAAGACCCAGGACACCCAAGAGAAATTACAGAAACAGTGGGGATTTTCCCATTGTATCTGAAAAATTCATGGCATAGCTGTGAAGTTCACTTGAAAGTAAAGACAACTGGGAAGCTATTGATAGGACTCTGTAGCAAATGTGTCCTGACTCCACAACTCATATTTGCCTTCCTTTGGCAATTGAATGCTGTTTAGGGTATAAAAAGAAAATAAAGAAGATGTAGGGAGGAGTGTAATGCAAAATGTTTTAACATGTAAAATGACTCTGAAGTTACTGCATGCTTTCTCCCTTGAAGATATCTGTGTTTTATGGAACACAGTTTTATGGAAACTGCCTTTGTAATCATTCTGATAATCATTATCTGCTTTTCCAGTCTTTTTTTTTCACAAATGACAGTAATTTGAGTGCTTAAATATCTGGCAATAATTTCATTCTAGTTATGACAGCATGCTTATGAAGGCAGTAGTGCCTGACAGAGAGTGACAAGAAGCAATGGTCATCACTGACATACCCATCATTCCTCTTATCTCAATAGCAGATTCTCATCTTCTTAAGCTGGCAATAAGACCTTTGTCAGTTTATTAATGTGTGAAGAACTGGTGTTTCATATGAACACATTGTAAGGAAATAATATCCTTATCATCAGCTAATGAGTGCTTGCATTGGGCATTTCATGCTGAGATCAGAAGCTAGAAGGGATGGAGTGTTTTTCAGAATTCCTCAATGTGTGTGTGTTTTCATCAAGTTCATTTAGTAATCACAGCTGATTGCTAAGAATACGTGGTCAGTATGAATTGCCAAAGCAGCTGCTTTTCCCTGCCTTATGCAGTGCATCAAACCAAGTATGACATAGCTGTTTATGCAGAGAATCATCAGATGAGTTCAAGACAGGAATGAACTTGAATTGAAGAATTTTTTTTTTATGTTGTGTGAATTCTAAGAGATGTCTGGAATACCCAAGGCACGCTGGGTTAGAGTGCCAGAAGAATGGCTGAGTTTGGCAGGCACCCCTTGAGCTCGCTTAGTCCAACTCCCCTGCTTAAGCAGCAGATTGCTGAGGACCATGTTCTGTCAGGCTTTGAATATCTCAAAGGATGGAAGCACTGCAGCCTCTCAGGGCAACTTGTCCTAGTGTTTGACCCTGGGGGATCACCAGTGGCACTAGATAGCTGCTGATGCAATAACATGCATTACATTAGGTAACTAAGCTGTGCTGAAGAGGGTTTTCTGTCACCCTGTAATGGTGCTATGAATAATTTTTGTATTATTTTATTGAAGGTGTAAATTATTACTTTTCATCAGTTTTTAATTTCCAGTATTTTTGATGCATTCAAGTAATATGTACAGCATTTATGGCAGCAGTTTTTAACATTCCCTTTTTTCATGCCACAGCACCTATTATATCCAGCTAGAAGCACTTTCTCACTGATCTCCTTTTTGGTCAGCAGTGTTCCTCATGTGACTTGCATCACTGTAAAAGCAAACAGACTGGAAAAGGACAATTAAAGAGGGTAGTTTGGCAACCATCACCTTTTTTTCTTTATGGCTGCTCTGCAAACACAGGAAAAAGCAAAGTGACTGAAATGTGACAGTGTAGCGCCTAGCCCATCTCCTGGTTTTCTGTTCAAGTATTGTTTCTTCCTGGAAATCAGAATTATATATGTAGTACACACCTACATAAATTAATTAAAGCTTATGGGCTCTTTCAAGGCTGTATGCTGTTCCCTTTCTAGGTGGCTAGCATGGACATGGGTGAATAATTTATAGGTCTGTGAGCCATGGCTCCTCATGTCTGTTACTTGACTTTTAGCTTGGTAAAAATAAGCCACCATTTGTCATTGACTTTTGTTCCTGAGACAAATGTTACATAACAACAACAACAACAACAATTGTGCTCAGAGTGTTGTTTCTTCTGTTAGATTTTTAGAAAAGAGGCTGAAGGTCCCTATGGACTTTATTGAGGTAACCCACCACGAGTGCAGTCTGCAGGACCCTGCAGAACCTCCCTCTTCATGGTCTTCTGCAAGGGCTGGTCTCAGCCCTGGATGCATTTACTGGAGAAGGGGCACTTGTCAGTGTCTCACAGAGCTGGTGACCTCTGGCAGCAGAAATGGCTGCAGGCAGCTGACATCAGCATGGGGGAGTGTCAAGTTTGAAGCAGGAGACTTCCTTGCAATGAAAATTGCTTGCAGTCTGTGCCCCAGAGTGCTTCATGTCCAGAGGTTTGTGTGAAGCCCTCAGGTGTAAACTCTTCTTTGTGCTCAAAGCCAAGAAGATGGATTTTCACTTTAGTTTCTAATTACAGAGGATAAAACTACTTTCTTAGGGTCTTTTCCTTAGTCTCTCAGGATGTTTGCAGGTCACTGGTTTCAATGCTAACCCACAACATGACGCAGACAGCATGGCCAGTTTGAGAACCTTTTGATTTTCTTGCACAGTAATTAATTGCTTGATGTCAAAGTTGGTAATTTTCTGATTTATAAAATCAATTCAGAGAGGAAAAAAAACTTTTCCAGTGTTTCAGAGAGTTAAACATGACAAAGCAAAGGGTGTTTTTTTAGTTCCACTCACAGGAATAAAATGCTATTCTGTAAATCCATAGTTATTCTGATTAGTGAAATTTCTATGACAAAATCTGGTCAATTTTGTCTTGAATCTTACAGAAGTGTTCAAAAACAGTGATGGGGTGCCTCAACAGCTTAACTTGTAATGTGTCCATAGTGCAGAAGTCCATTGGTTAAAAGATTTATCATTGTTCAATCATTTTATAATTGCATGTATTTAAAAGGATTCAGAAGAAAATTTTTAAAGTGACTATAACTTGACTAAATGCTAATGCTAAAATTTTAGCTAATGCTAAAATTATTAGAACGTAATTCAGCACATGTAACCTACCCAGTGACTTCTGCAGGATTGCAATACTTCAAGTCAGGAGCAAACAGGTCATTTAAGAGCAAGAGTAGCTTCTTAAAATAAAATCAATCACAATACTGTACAACCTTATGCTGTAGCATTTGGTCTTTCTGCTTATCATTCTTCTTATGAAGGGATCTTCACCTTGGGTGGAATTAAAATGCATTAACTTTCTATTCCTTTTCTCTAAAATAGAAGTGAGCTGAGCCATCCAAGTCAGTCCCCATTACAGCAAGAAAAACATGCCTGTTACCCACAGGGAGAGCTGGACTCTTCTGAATGATTGTTTGAGTGATCAAAAGATATGTATTACAGGAATGTACAGTTATGCTGTGGGAAATGTTGCTTTCATTCTCTTCAAAGGCTTCAGGCACCTCAGGAAAACCAAGAAAAATCATAACATTAAGTCTTACAAGCACACATGAGTTTATCAAAGCCTTCCTCATCTGATACTGATTTCCACTGCATGTAAATAAATATATCAATAATTTATGTACTTCATCTTTATTGTCAAACAGTCTTTTTTTCCTTCTTACTTGGCATGGCAGGAGTATCCTCAGTCTGTGCTTCTTTCTGGAGCCCATAGCTCTTACTTGTGAATTCACACAGGTCTGTGGGTTTGTAGACCAAGAAAGGAGTGGGTCTTGTGCTGAGTCCTTCACTGGGAGCTGTGCACCTCCTAGCCTTGGTCAGGGAGCAGGACAAAGGAATCAATGCAAAGGAATTGCAAGCAGTGAATGAGTGTGGTGGGGGAAAATATCAAATTTACTTGATATCAAAATTTGATGTGGAATTCTGTTATGGTGGAATGGTTGTTGACATTACAACAAAGCTGATGGAGGCTGATAAAATTGGAGGAGAGGCAGAGGTAATGAACTGGGAAAGAAGGAAATTCAAGGGAGTAGGGGGTTAGAGAGGGTCAGTGGGTACTGGGGCAGAGAATAGCCAGGGTAATAATCCTGTGCCAGCATCTCTGCAGCAGCTCCTAGTCCGATAGCAGCTTCTCCAGCTCATCTTGGCTTTGGTCTACCTTGAGTGATGCCTTGCAAGCATTATTTGGGCTCCCTGAACCCACTGGGCTTGGGGAAAAGTAGTTCTTTCCCTGCCCCTGTGGTCCCAGAGGGAATCAGTTGTTGTTGAATGGGAAGAATTAGGATTTCACTTAACTTGCTTCTGCCCCAGCTGATGAGGACTCCTGACTGTGAGAGGAACATAGTCCCGGGCTACCTGGAAAACCCCTGATTATCTGGAAACTTGTTCTGAAACAGCACATCCTTGTGATGTAGAGGGGCTCAAAACCAGAAGCAAATTCCAAAGTGTTCCCCATCACAAGTAACAGCAAGGAAAGGATTCATAAATCAGTTGTAACTCATCAGTGGAGAACAGGGGAAGCGCTGCTGTGGAGTTACTGTAGGGATTTTCCTGCTTGAACTCTGTTTCAGAAGAAAATGGATGCATACTGTTGCTGAGGAAACAAGTTTCCCAGGGGAAGCTTGGCTTTTCCCCAGTGTGAATTTTTGCTGCCTCATGCTCACACAAGTCAATTAACCTAAAACCTACAAACTGCACATGGTACGGCTCTGTACAGTTATTATATTTCAAATGTATTATGAATTTTGTACAGTTGCATGTGGCTTTAATCATTAACAGCCAAGGAACAGATTCAAGTTTATATTCCTCTTTAAATATTTGTATTCCTGTAATGGAACTTTGCCCATTTTTCTCTGTAGGTGCCAGCTTGCGTAATGACATCAATAAATACTTCTGGTTTCATCATTCTCAAGGGGACACGATGACAGTTCAGGATCCAAACCAGATGAATCTCTGTGCTGCTGTTTGGACTGTTGTCTCCTATGTAATTGCTGACATGGAGGATATGTTGCCAAGGTAATAAAACAGCAAGAAAGAGTATTTCTGTTCTTCAGTAAAGATTGTAAGTCCACTAATGCATGTGGACTGCAGCTGTAGTAAATCCTCGTACCCTTGGTTTTCTGCATTATTATTATTATATCTGTTTTCCTCAAAACGCACTCTCTTTTATGCATTCCTGATTATTTTTGCTGTTTTGATCTCTTCCATTTGTGATTTTCACTTAAATGTGTTCCTTTACATACTTCTTGTATTTCAGATGAAGATATGATTGACTATGATATAATACCCATTTGTATGCACAGAGATCATGTGCAGCAGGAAAAATATACAAAATAAAATTTTTGCATCAGACTAGTGTATTGATTTTGTGTACATGTTTACTGGTTTTGTTTCTGTTTTTCATTCTGTGCATTGGAGTTATGTATTATTAACCAAACAGCTCTTTCTTTTCACTGTTTTAAGGTAATACTGTAGTTTCTAGAAGTTCTCAGGTTATAGGACAAATTAATCTTGTCTTTTTTAATGTTAATATATGGTAGAATGGTCAAATTATAGTCAAAATGCTTAAATAGTACATTAGCTTCACTCAGGTCCATTTTTAGCTCTTATGAGACTCAGATAAACTAGGACACAGAGGATATAAAGCCATCAGAGGATTCCCAGCTCTCCTGTGTTTTTTTGGGCAGCTCCTCATGGAAAGCCATGTGTGTCTTTTTCTTTCTCATGGAAGACTCGCCATTGTGACAGGCAGAGAATTTCGTGTGGCAGTTTTGCTATGAAATGCCATGTTTCAGAAACAACACACAGCTGTGATTTGTGACCTTCAGTACTTGCCAGCTGGTATCCAAACAAAATGTAAGAGCAGATTGTGATTCAGAATCCTGAAGCCATTCCTAGCTGCCCCTGGCTTGCAGGGATGGTCTCCCATGCTGAAGCTGGGCTAGAGGATGCTGGTACAAATTCACTTTGATGGAGGGATTAACCTGGGAATTTGATTCTTATATACTTTGTTGGTTTGGGGGTTGGGGATTTTTCTTGCTTACTGAGATTATGAATATTCAGATGAGTTTCGGCATATCTGTAGAGAAGGTATAACTGGCCTTGGGGAATATTTTAAGGCATATGATTTCTGCTCATTTCCTTGTGACGTGATCCTTGTTTGTGATTTTAAATTTTACAACAAGCAAGCTTAGTGTGTGAATAACTGCTGCAATGTACTCAGCACCAAAAAACTAATGTTAGCAACATGGAGCATTACACCAAATAGCAGGCAATTCCTAGTTAATCAGTTCTGCTATGAGCAATAGCTGAATCATGAGCAATTCATTTTTAAACATGGAGCATTATACCAAATAGCAGGCAATTCCTAGTGCTGTTAATCAGTTCTGCTATGAGCAATAGCTGAATCATGAGCAATTCATTTTTATAGAATTCATAATCATGGTATCTGTTTACTGTGATAATAGCTGTTTTCCATCAAATTTATTAACTATTTCAATATTCCCTCCAAATCATTTCAAGACCATAAAAGCTGCCTGGAGATACACTGCTCTATCTTTCTAAAGAAACAATATTGAAATAGAGTTGGCAAAGATTTCCTCCGCTTTCAAGGCGTGATGCCTGTGTTTCTTTTTGCTTGACAAGAGCATACTTGGAGGTGCTCACCACTGACAGATCCTCAGCTGTCTCCAAATCCAGCTTTTTGTCCTTCACACAATGTGAGTTACTGTTTCCTGAATTGTTGTTCCATATTGTTTTCCCTCAGGGTATGAGGCTTTGTACATCAGAAATTCACAAGGATGTTCTGTGAAGTTACCTATATTGTTGCAAATCTTAACCTGTGCGCTCTTGGAAATGGTGTTTATTTGTGTTTTTCTCCATTGCCTCAAGTCAAATGGAAAATCTCTGGAGTCAAGAATACTCCTCTGCTGAGGAGAATAACACTACAAGTGTGCACATGGCACCACAGCACATGTCAAGATGTGCTTGTCAGCTCCTAAGCAAGAAAATTAACCATTCCCAGGCCAAAAGCAACACAACTATGTAAGATTGTAAAAATTAGACCATGATGCCCCTGAAGAAAATGTAACCTTCATGTCAGTTTCAGACACACAACTCTAGAGAGAAGCGTTAGTTTTGGAAAAAAATGTTCAAAAATCAAAACTGCCATGATATTTTTATAGAAATGACAAAAATAAAAATATTTTATTTCTAAGATTGAAAAACAAAGATTTTTTTTTAACTTGTAAAACCAGATTTCATTAAAATAAGACATTGTCTCTGATTCTCTTTTTTTTTTTTTCATGATGTGTATTGGTTCTCAGACCTATCTGTCCATAGTATTCTCCTGGTAATCTGCCCATTCAGATGTACCTCCCTTAAAACTTTCCATAAACAAGGACATGCTAATACATTTCTTTTCTTTCCAGTGGGATTTTGTACCATCTGTGCAATAGCTTATCTTTACCACTGCTCAGTGTAGCAATTATGTTATTCCAATTAGTGACCATTGAACATGGATCACTTGGTCAGTTTTCAATTCAAGAGCACTTCTGAGGTGATCCAGGTAAGTCAACAAAACTTTTTCTTCCACTCACATACCATTAATCTTTGGGAATCTTTCTCAACTTTGAATTGAGTAAGTAGAAGCTTAGGACATTATTTATATTACTATTATTGTGAGGGTCACCTGCCATAAATCTGTGCTCATCATAAGGAATTTGATAATGTTCTAGGTCAAGGGGACCATGGGTAAAATTCCCTCCAATAAACATTTGGGGTTTTGCCTGCAAAGATCTGTGAGGTGAGAGCTGAAAAGACCAGCACTAGTATTTAAATGTATGTTGAAAATTTAAATTTCAAATAATAATTTTCCTCAAGGTATTACAAATCTCTTGCATCTGCTGAGAAGTGAAGCCCCTGGGTAGTCTTCCTTTCAGCTACAACTTGAAGCTTTCAAACATAGTTACAGAGGGATGAGGCCAATACATAATTCATTTACCTGACTAGACTATAGTACAGATGCTGATGAAAAATCTGTTTTCAATACTGCATAATGTAATGTAAGTAATTTTGCCAGTAATAAAAGAAGAATTGTAGGGTAGGTTTGCTTTTGTCCTTCATTGTGCCAAGACAATAGTGACATTTCACTGTCTCTTTGAATGATTCTGTTCTATGTGTTCTCACAAGACTTTTAGCTCCCTTAAAATAATTAAAAACAAAGAGAGACTTGAAGCAGTGCTGATTCTGTTGCTCCATTACAAACATCCTTGGCTGTGTATTTAGTTAGTATGCTTCCCCCATAGCGATGTGAGACACTTCCATTTACCATAAGTAAATATCAAACTGATCTTGATATCTATATCTGTCTCATGAAATATACATACCATCTAAATGTGCCCAAATGATTAATTTACTGCTGTGTAATGATTAGCATAAAAATCTCATCACTGCACAGGATAGAAATGTTGCCACTAATTGCTGGTTGGAGTGAACAATGTTTTCTGCATAGAAGTTAATGATGCATTGCAGCTCTTGAATGGAAAAACTCAAGACATTTTGGGGGAGAGAAGATTTTTTCCCCTTCTTTTCTGCTAAATGTTAGGAGACACTGATCATACATAACAAAAAGGAATAGATATAATGTAATAGATATGTATAATAGAAAGGAAATTACACCTTTTGTAGTCTTCTGTCTACTGCAAATACATGGAAGCACTGTCCACACACACACTGTGGACTTTTTCATTATCGTTATTTCTGGAAACTCCAGCTGCTTTGCACAAAGATACGGCCAGCTATGGGCCTGTGATTTCTGGTTACAAATGTTTAATAAGTACGTTGTGCTAACACCTGATTAAGGTTTCAGATGCTTCTCTTCTTGGCAATCGCGAAGGCACTTGGAGGAAGGGCCTTGATGGTGGCTTTATATCCAACTCTGTGTCCAGCTTGCAGTTTGGGTTCACTGCAGGACACATCAACCTCCTGTAGTTTATGTTAAATTCATGTCTTCTGGAGGGTTTTTTATCTTTCCCTTTATTTCTCAGCACTTGTACTGTGCCACAGATATTAGGAATGACTAACTGACTGAAAAAAAATCTGTGTATTTTGTGCATTAGGGCTCAGGAACTGTGAGGTGCAGTTGAGATGACTCAATTGCACATAAGCACATGGCAGAGAGCTCCATCAGGGCCAACACTTGCCTGTATCACTGACCTCTGTTACTGGCAGAGAGAGCTTTGTAACTAATGCAGTGAAATTTTATCACTATCATGGATGTCTCCATGACTATGTGAAAATCAGGCTTATGAAAACTAAAGAGGGAAGCTCTGGAAGAGGGACCACAAAAGCCACAAAAAGAGCAAGGTTATACTTAGGAACTGTGGCTTCAAGTACCAGTGTTTTACTGTGCTTTGCTGTGAGTTGGGGAACACTACCTAAATCTCCCTGAGTTCCACTGTTAAATGTTGGTAGTGGTGTTTGGTGCTGGTCTTTGTTGTAGCCTCATTTAACAACACTGTTAAAAGACATGATGCAAGTAAAACCTAAGTTCATAGCAGAGGTGATGTTCAGTTGGAGGAGAGGAATAAGAAGTAAACACCTTCCAGCTACATGAGAATTCACCTGTAGAATGTGTCTTTTAGTAATTACTGTTTGCATTCGCAATACTTGCATTATTCACATTATTTGCATTTACTATTTGACATGAAAAACAAAAAGAAATTTTCCTCCTTCAGGTACTGCTGTTTCAAAATAGACTTTGGACATCAGGCATATCAGTTTTAAATTAATGGTACTTGGCATGTGGCAGTGATGTGGGACAATTATGTGTGCAAGATGGTCACACAAAATGCCATCTATATATATATCATTTCACTACGTTGAACTGTCACACACATACTAAGTATTTCACAGAATGAGGGGCCATGCACTGGGGCAGTTTGGGAAAAGGGAATAGGTTAAATGATTTCCCAACAGTCCTGCAGCCAGTCAGTCCTAAAGCTAAGTATAGTTTAGTTTCTGCTTCAGCCAATCTGTGCTGCCCATAAATGAGTTGCTACTTTCTTTTTATATCACTGAGAAAACTTTGTTGCTGAAGTGTAAAATTTTGTGCGAAAATGACACTTGACTGGTTATGGGCAATGTATGTGGACTGAACTCTGGGGAAAGTCTTCAAAACTGATTTCACTGAGGTTCTTTGTGATTCAAATTATAATCTCTGAAATATGTCAGCTTCAGCTTTGTGAGTGTGATTATGCAATTTTTTGCCTAATCTAAATTGTCTATGTATTTTGCTTCTTCCAGAGATATTATGTCAGTAATACAGCTGCAGAGAATTCATATAATTACTG